GCCTTATGTAATATTTTAGTTTTTAAGAGTACTGTTGCTGAAATTATTTTCTCATTAAAGAGAAACATTAAAAATATGATTTATGAAAAAAATCAGTGTTACTATTGTCGAAACGTGGGGCACAAGTATACCAATTGTTTATCGAAACGACAAATAGATCAAGATAATGAACTGATTCTTTTTACAAAAATGTGGATGCTTTATAAGGTAGAAAAAATAAATCTCTGTGCTCTACTATCACGTGATTTACTAATTTAATTTTCAGAAATTACTCCCTTCAAAGAAAACTAATGAAAATAGAGACAGATTAGTTATGAAAATTAAAAAAATTTTAAGCAACGAATGGCCTGATCATGAAATAGAAGTTCATTTGTTTGGGTAAATAAGTTTTTTTTTTAAATTTAATGTTGAAAAAAATACATTTTTAAAATAATTCATTGAAATAACATTTTTTATAACGATAATTTCAAAAAGATCATCTGTAAATCTTCTTGGAACATCAACATCTGATGTTGATTTATGCATTACGACACCAAGTAGAGAGTTAGAAAACATATCTGTACTGTTTGTGAAGTTGCAAAAATGTGCACAAAATGTATTTATTAAGGCGGCATTCATAATTATGGATGCCGCCTAATTTGTGAAGAAAATTTATTAATACTCTTTCGTATATTAAATAGATAATATGAAAATAACTGAATGTGTTACCAATGCTAAAGTTCCTATTGTTAAATTTTTGGATCCTACGCTATATGTAACTGTTTACTTCTATGCTAACTTTTATTATTGTTTAACTTATGATAAGGTGGCATCCATAATTTACATTAAACCAGTATTGTTATTGAGATCTTAAAAGATAATACAAAAATAATACCATTTTATGTATTATCATCAAGTTCCCTATTTCTATACAATACAATACTGGTTTAACGTAAATTATGGATACCGTCTAAGGATAAAATTCTTATCGTGTTATAATTTCTAATTACAAATATTTACAGTAATTTAGCATATGACATCAATGTTAATAATACTCAGGCCTTACTTAATACAATGTTAATAAAGTCGTATGTAAATTTAGATCCAAGAGCTCGCTCTTTAGTAATGACAATAAAACATTGGGCACAAATTCGAAAATTAAACAATGCTGGTATTCTGTTGATTTTAACAATTATTTAAAGTTTTCAAATCTTTTAATGTGTAATTATATTCATTATTGTAGCTTGCGGAACCCTATTATCATATACTTGGACATGTATGGTTTTAAATTTCCTTCAAATGCGTAATCCTCCAATTTTACCAGTATTAAAGGTTAATAGAAAAAATGAAGATATTGAATTGTTGAAAGTCGGTTACAAAAATAATGAATTGATTGGTGGATTATTATTTGCTTTTTTTAAATTATACTAAACTAGAGTTTGAAACCTGGTTTATTTTTTATGTGTCAAAACTGATTTTAGTTGAGTTTAATATATGAACAAATAAAATTTAAAATTATAATTATTTATTTAAATTAATAAAATATATCATAGTGTAATTTATATTAGGTTTGCATATGACTTTAAATATGAAAATTATATCATTTCTCTTCGGCTAGGAAGGTGCCTTAATAAATACGAAAAGAATTAGATGCGTTGAAAATTATGTATAGAAGAACTTTTTAATATAGAAAGGAATCTTGGAAATGGAGTGAGTTATGATGGTTTTAAAAAAATTAGGAAGGAATTTCGTAGGGCAGTAAGAATTCTTTATAAAGCAGATCTCAAAGTTTGTTGCCAAGCACTTACACCACAAGCTGAAAAGTATGAATATAATGATGACAGATCTAATATAATTACTAATATAATTACTACACCACTAGATGAGATTTATGAGTGTGAAAATGATGATGATGGATCTCTTGTAATTACTTCGGAAGCTTTAAGTAAAGCTAAAGTTTATCTTGATATCATCAAAGAAATAAAAAATAAAAATAAAAAATTTATTTACACTCTGTATATTTTTTTATATATTGAAGTCCTTTCTTGTCATACGTTATTAACGTTATTATTATACAGTAAAGCAAAATGAATAATGATTTATTTTCTTTAATTCCAAAAGATGGTATTAGTGCTAATCTTTAAATTATAATCATTCTTATTTGAAATAATTTTGAAGATTACAGTATAAGCGGACCTTAAAAATTCTAAAAAAATGGATGCAAACAGATATAGAACTTTTTATTACAGTTATAATATCACATGACTAAATAGACCCATGGGTCCGTAAGATCTTTGAATTGTCACAATTCCATTAATTGTTTTGATCATCATTCGCTAACCAATCAGAGAATTTAGCATATTTAAACCAAAAAAGCAATTCCTTTTTGGTTTCCAAATTCTCTGATTAGTACTATAATTTTTTGATCAGCCGTGGATTAGCTATGAGAATATGGGGTGTTATAAATGTTTAAGAAAATTTTAGGCGGTTCTATTTCAGAATAAGGCCAGTTACGGTTATTCAATTTGTGTATCACATGAATGATTGATCTGATTAAACGAAATTAAAATGTCTTTGAGTTGGAATTAGAGATTGAGAATACACGTGTATAATACCTTTTAATTATATGTCTTTAACTAATGTGGTTGGGTAAACTTCACAATCACATGATTTATTCGAAAATTCTTTGTGTTAGTACTGTAGTTATTTGACCAATTATGTGAAGGTCAAGAGAACATATTTATCTCAAGATATATTAATATATGAACTATACACGAGCAATTAATAGTGCGGCAAACTAATATTTAACCTGTAACCATATTTCAATTTTTGAATTAATTAATTCAAATAAAATAAAATGAAATAAGGCAAAAAAAGTAAAAAAAAAAGAATGAATGATTTATAATATCACAAGATCCCAATTTTGCCAAATGATAAGTATGATTTTCAACTCCTAATAAGGCTGTAAATACATAAATATAAAATAATTAACGCTGTATTTGAATTAAAAAATTTTGAGGAATGGATTATATATACCAAATAAGCAAAGTCATCCAATTAAATTCAAATAGAAAAACCAAGCAAATATCATGTAGTTCAAAAAAGCACAAATAATGCCAAAAAAAGTATATGATTATAATGATAGAGGATATTAAATTCAATTCCAAATAGGGCTGCATAATGAAAAAATAATTAATATATTAAGTTACGATAAGAAATATATAAGAAATGCATTATATATATACCTAATGCACAAAACCATCCAAAATAATAATTCAAACTGAATCTAATGTAATTCAAACAATTAATCCATCCAAAATTAACAATAGATACTAAACATACATAGAAATTATGAATCTCCCAATAAGTCCAAGTTCTGTAATAATTGTATTGCTGAATAAAAGCAGTACTATGAAAAAGATAAAAATTAGAAAGTTCAATTTGCAGAAATTAATCACATCATAGTTTTTGTAAATAGTCAAAAATTTTTATCAATTATTTTGTGGTGATAATCAAAGAAAAAAATAATTAAAAAAGGAATTACAATTCGGGGATCAAGAAGATGATTTTGAATCTAAACCCAATTGAGAATCCTAGCAAAAAGGCTAATATCTAAAAAAAAAGAATAAATAGAGATGTATGATAACAAATTAAATAACAAGAAATCAAACAAACCCATACAATCACTAAAATGAATCGCAATTTGCTATTAGATGCCTTGATGACAATAATGATGCTTATGAACCAAAAAAGACTTAAAAATGGTGGTAAGTAAGCCTAAGCAATTAAATTAAAATAACAATAAATATAACATAATTTTATATTATTACAGATTATATAATATAAATATTCAAAGAAGCTTTAACTTAAATTAATTAACATTAATTAAATAATGCTGGTGACACAATCAAAATGGCGAGTCAGTCGCTTCTCAATAGGATATGTCATGAATCTACAAGTCGGGCTTAATCGAAAAGGGTGTGCTATATTTGGTGAGTGGATGATTTATGATTGTTGGTATTAGTAGTATATAATAAAAGCAGGTATTATTATTATTAGGGACGAGTTTTATTTGGATCACGAACAATGAACGTTTTTTCTTCGTAGGGCACGAAGCCTTTATTATATACTTTATTTTACATAAGGCACGTTATACACTCTATTCATGATATAGTACTTAGATTAATTATCACGTGTATACTAATTATAATGTCTATACTGATTATACTGATTATAATGTTTATACTTATTATTTTAATTATATACTTGATTCTGCTAATTCTTTTTATTCTACTGATATCTATTATCAACCCGATACTGAGTATACAGCCGTTAATTTGTTACTGCGCCACACCGATCACCTGCTTCAACGCGTTACCATCCTACCGCTTACACTAGATATTAAAAATTTTAAATTACCTATCGGTCATGACCGCGGTCAGTTTAGTCATGACTCATAACCGATGATGACCGACCAAAACTGACCGTGACTGACCGTTGACATCCCTAGTTGTGATCGTATAAAGGTATTTTTATTAGTAAAAATTTAAAAAAAGTGGGATTGTAATTAAAAGTCATTTGTGATTATATAAAGGTACTTTAAATATTAAAAAATATTATGTAATTATATAGAAGTTGTGACTATAGATGAGGTGATTGTAGAGGAAGACGACAATAATATATTTAACTTTTATAACTTATAGCAAACTTTTTATTAAATGTATATCTATTCAAAAATAAATAAAATA